CAATTATCTGACAGCTTTAGTTACAAGCAGTGGTGGAGGGAAATATACAGATTGTTTACTTAAGTAGAAGTAGGCTACTTAGTTAAAGGCCTTCACTGAAAAGTGCACTTAAAGGTACTAAAAAGTGCAGGAAAATGTCCCCTGTAACTGTTATATTACTCTATATTATATAATTAGATCATTATTAGTCATGCATTACTGTAAAAGTGGGACTTTACTGTTCTAAACTATTCTGTATAGGACTGCAATTGATAATTATTTTCTTTATGAATTAATCTGCTGATTATTTTAATTATTAATTACTTGATTGTTTGGTTTGTAAAAATTCTGAAAATAATTAGAAATGTCCTCACAATTACCTGGAGCCTAGAGTGACACCTGGGTAGTCAGTAATAATGTTTTTGTTTTATTTATTTATTGTCTACTTATATATCAGAAATGGTATTCAATATATAAGTATTCAATGTGTCCATATGTTTTTGCAATTATTTTTCGTATTTTATTCTAGGATGTATTTGTTGATTATATTTTGTGTTTTGTGTAAATAATATGAATCTGAAAAGTAACTGGTAAGTTTAAGCATAATAAACTCATTACTATTCAATTTCTGTCACTGTGGAATATGTTTACTTACACTTACATTTACTTATCGTATTATATCTCTTAGTCTCTTATTGTATTTTTATTTTTATATATTATTTACTTATGTATATACCTATACATACATTTCTATTCTGTATATTGCGTTAGATATTGTATGATAAGTATTATTTCTATTCTTTACCATGTGTGAGTAGAACAACTGTAACAAACACATTTTCCCCGGGATCAATAAAGTATTTCTGATTCTGATTCTGATAAAGTAGAAATACTCAAGTAAAGTAAGTAAAGTACTTGATAATAATTAGTTACTTCCCACCACTATAAACCAGATAAACCTGTGTGTGGTTTCTTTTTAATTAGCCCAACCAGCCAGTATTGAATTTTATTCTATGTAACCACTAGAGATGGTGGCTTTGCGGCCATTTTGCCACAGGTTCACTGACTCTACTGTAGTTCTTTTATCACAAACTGGGACGTAACCGACGCTTCCAGTCGAAACACTCAAACTACATAGCTTCTGGTTTTCCACGCTTGCTCGTATACGGACTGAACTACACGACTTGAACGCGGCATACGACCACTAAACGCGAGGGGGAGGGGGAGAGGGGGAGAGGGAGAGGGAGAGGGAGAGGGAGGCTGCAGCTGCGCGCTGAACTACAATACCCACAACCCCTTGCGCGCGTCAACAGCAACAGCTAGGATGTTGCGATATCGCTGGCAGCCAAAGATTGCTGTGGTTGCAGAGATTTGGCTGCTGGGTTGAAACCTCTGCCTAATGTTTTGGTAGATGTCAAACACCGTAGTTTGTCGTTCACAGTCGCGGCTGACGGACTCTTGAGCTTCCGGTCGACTCTGCGTCTGTTTGTGTTGATGAGAGGCTTCACCGCGCTAACGCGTTAGCTTTGGTGAAATCATAGTTTTATCGCAAATGGGAGCAATTAAATAGGTAGACGGGGGCAGCTATGTGCCACCGAACCGTTCGCTTCACTTGACCGAGGATGGAAAGATATTTTCGGGCGACGCTATCACACAAGTTACCCGTCGGACACATCGCTCTCGGAGACATTATCTTCAGAGGATAACCTGGATAACCTTACACGAAATGTCATAGCGCGTAAGTAGCTAGCACTGAGCTAGCTCGGTAATGGCTGGACGAGGAGATGGAGAAGGGACCCACTGTTATCACCATCAGCAGCCGACCATGAACAGCTGGATGGATAGCTAAAGAAATACTTTCTCCGGAGATGCTTTAGCCTCCTGGGTGGTGTAATTCACTTACATAACAGCTCGTCGCAAACCTCTCTCGCTATCACCGACTGGCTTCTTCTGTTGGCGAGCAAATGGGAAATTTGCCACCAAAAATCTGGGTTGTCTCAACATCATCTTAAGTGGCAAAGGCACCACTGCGTGTTTCGAGGCTGCAAATAGACTTGCTCGAAGCGGCCGGGGTTCGTTAGGTTTGCAGTCTTTCGCCCTGCGTTATCTGTCGGTGCAGTAATTCAGCGCACAGGAAACAGGGGGCAGCTCGTCTCTGATTGAAGAACATAAAAACATACAATAACTCCTCCGGTCGTTTCGACAACATGAGGAAGTTCTTTGATTCTCGTCGGGAGTTGGTGAGCTCTGGGCCCGGTTCTGGAGGAGGAGGTGGCAGCTCCGGGTCCAGTCATGCAGGCGGAAATTTCATTGGCAGAGCCTTCACTGTCGGGCGGCACCAAGTCACCGTTGAGGAGATCATTGCTGAAGGTGAGAAAAGGGGGTTTGCACGAAGCCAGATGGTGCCGTTTGTTTTTGTTTGTTTTCTCCTCCTTCCTTTTTTATTTTCATGCATGTTGTCGAAGCGAGAGTATATTTATGTGTGCGTCCTGCAACCTCAAGCCAAATGCATGAGTCACATGACAGAACAGGGATGCAACCTTATGTCATCCCCACAGGAATGATGGAGCTTTGCATCCATGTATCTTGGATACATGAACTAGAGGCCTGCTGCTTTTCTCTCAGCTGTACTCTAACACAACAGTTTCCTGTTTAGCTGTTTTCTGATTCAGAAGTGTGATTCAAGGAGATGGAGATCTACCTGGTGCGGCACAGTTGCAGCAGTTATTTGATCTTTTTTGTTTTTAAATGATTAAAAGGAGGGTTAGTGTACAGTACAGTCTGTAGATCACACATGATGCTTTATAGATACCAGGGGTAGGCACTTTCTGTAAATTATTAAATTAGTGATGCTGAAGTAGAGGCCTGTACTTGGCCCAAGACAGAGTGATTTTATTTATTATTTTAAAGCTGGAAGTACGACGTTTTTGCTGTTTTTTATATTTCTATTTCAAAAGTTTTGAAGTTAAACAATCTCTCTGAACACAAGTGCTTGGTAGCTTTTACAGTTTTTGTGCAGAGTTCAACAAGAGAATGATAAAGGAGGACAGTGTTGTACTTGAACTGATCCCGCTGTCTGCACATCACTTACTGTACATCAATATTTGCATCGGACGTGGATGCGAACCCCCAGCCTCAACCTGCACACACACGTCCATAGGTATGTCTCGCAGATTTATAGTGCTACGCTGCCATTCAATAACACGTCACACTGGTTGCAGTATAAGGCCGCAACGTCTGCCTGAAATTGATGACTCTGTCACAACTAAACTCAGCAAAGTGAATTTGTGGCCTGAGCTATACCAGATGGTTAGGCCTCAATGTAGGCCTCTACGTAAACCCTGCAGCAATGGCATGACTAATACATAACGCTATAAGGCTGCACCATTTGGTCCCGATCGACCGTATTGATGTGAGGCTACACATGGACTCAAATGGCAACAGTTGTTGAAGTAATTGTGTGTAAAAACTAGCATGTCAGCTAAATGCTCAAAATCACGATGCCCTAAGAAAACTTGGCGCGATGAGAGTTTCACCTAAGTCTTAGTCAGTCTAGTGTGCATCCAGGTTGTCGTTTTGCTGACGTGTCATCATCATCTCTTTGAGGTCTGACAGTTTCATTTGTTTTGTTTTTCCAATCCTGCAGGCGGTTTTGCAATCGTGTTCCTGGTGCGAACAAATCAAGGGGTGCGTTGTGCCCTGAAGAGGATGTATGTCAACAACGAGCACGATCTGCAGGTGTGCAAATGCGAGATTCAGATAATGGTGAGTCGCTGAGGTTGGATATTTTCTCTTGCTTGTTCTCACTCTGAGCTCATGTGAATTTCTGCTGGGGTTTAAACCACATGTGAAAGCAACTACAAAACAAATGTCTTCTGAAACTCTTAATGGTGCCTGAAAATTTCCAAGAAATCCACAGATGCAAGTTCTCTGATCTGTGCAGAATAACTAAGAACAAGTGCTGAATTGGGTACGCACACGGCCTGCAGCAGGGTTGTTTGGGTGGTTGTACTGTATTTATTCATCTGGTTCTTGGTGTGCTTTGTTTTTGTTTTCATAGTGTTGTCTTACATGTCCTGCTCACCTCCTGAGATGTCTTGTAGAATGACTTTTTTGTGGTTAATTCTTAATAGACCATCTTGTAGTTCTTGATGGGACTGTTTTCTTTTCTGGACTCGTACATTCGTGGAGTTCATACACAGAATTTTGTTCTTTCATGTCTGAAGGAACACTCAGGAAGGAAGGAAGGAAGCACTGGTCAAATTACATAAAAGTGGCTGATTGTATAAACATTCAACAGAATTACATACAACACATTCTAACAACTCTGGAACTAGTTCTGGTTTTGCTTTTAAAACCAACACTAACAGACCCTAAGACTGAGTTCAAACATGATGTCTGGTGTCATTCTTCTTCATCATATGAAGTTTTTTGTTTTTTCTTTCCCTCTGTCTCATTTTTTCCCTCTCTCTCACTTACCCACTCACTCTCTCTCTCATACTCTTTCTCTCAGCGACACAACACACGACACACGGTAGACAGGAGCAGCATTAGACAGAGCAGACAGGTGCGGAGCAGGACAGTGCTTCACCTCAGCTGCAGTGCTTGACAATTTTTCATTACCTAATAGGTTCCTGGTTTTAGCTGTCCCTTGCAGCTCCCTCTGCAGGCGATGGCCTCACACTGTACCACAAAACGCTGACCAGATTGAAGGAAAGGGTTGTGGCATTAAAATTCATTGCAGTCAAATATGGAAATATCTCCTTCCTGTTCCATCTTTTCTTTGTGTCGCAAATAATTTTTGTCATACAAAATCGAGTCATTATAAAAGACTTCCAATCATTCACTTCACCTGTCACATACTATGTGCACACTATGCAGCTACTCAGCAGTAGTTGTGCTTTTTGGTACAACATTTTTTTATGCACTGTGGTTTGTTAATGCTCCTGAATGTGTGTTTGTGTCCTTGCAGAAAGACCTTGTCGGTCACAAGAATATTGTTGGGTATCTGGACTCCAGTATTACAGCTATGGGATCAAGGGATGTATGGGAGGTTCTCATACTTATGGACTACTGCAAGGGTGAGTGCTGAAAGGGAAATGGGATGCGGCTGCAACCACATTGAGATTGTGTGGCACTTTCAAATTCAAAATGGATTTGTGTGACAGTCTGGTTGTGCTGTCAAAGGAAAAATGAACCTTATTAACTAATGAGGAGGGACAATATCAGTGTTATAAAAGAATATATGTTAAGTTTGAATATGATGCAGCTGTATAACTGGATAATATTTTGCAGGGGGGCAGGTGGTGAATTTGATGAATCAGAGGCTGCAGACTGGCTTCACCGAGGCGGAGGTGCTGCAGATCTTCTGTGACACCTGTGATGCTGTGTCTCGTCTGCACCAGCGCAAGACACCCATCGTCCACAGAGACCTCAAGGTGACACATTTGGCCGCTTGTGCTCCGTGTAATGCTCTGCAAGCTGTAAGATAGAACAGGCGGCCCATTCTGTGTTAGTCTGACTCACAGGAAGTAGGCTGTTGGTACAAGCCTCCCATTGGCTGATTATTTCAGGGGGAATTTTCCTCTTTTTCCGCTATCTGTGTGTTACTGTTTTGCAAAGGCAAGAAAAAATAACAACTTCCCGAGCTAGCAACTCAACTCTCACGCTGAAAATGGCATCTGTGGCTCACCTCCCAACATGCAAATTGTTCCACCAAAATGAGCCTAAACACTATTTAGCAAGAGCATCCTAGGCTTAGCGCCCATTGTGGTAGGTTTAAAGAAATACACACAAGCCTGAGTGTTTTTCCCCCCCTACACCAGGATGATAATGAGTTCAGCCAGACTTTTCTCTAGTGCTGGCAACAATGCTAAAACCAAGTGTGGAGATGGGTCACCATGCTGTGTGATGTCTTTTGAAGACTCATGATGGATATGTTTGTGTGAGTTGAAGCTGTGTTTAATTATGGAAAGCTCTAATATGAGGGTAGATGAGATTGTCAGTTGTCAAAATATACTTCAAATACTTTCCATTTCTGCAGAGCCCAGTCAACTGCAGGGTGGTTGTCTCATTAATTTTAAGTTACTGTCACTCAAGAGATTTACTCTGTGTCATGGAAACATCACATTTTTCTTTGCAGTGCAGATTTCATGATTTACATAAAAGAAAACCTGAATCATAGGAGCATGTGTCATAATGTGAAGTTGGTCTCACCTTGATTTTTGTATTTTCATCATTATCTCAAGTGCACAGGTTCCAGCAGGCAAGAATCTGTGTTTGACTTGGCAGAATGGGTCTATTAATGCACCACCTCCTAACACTTAAATTCTAAATTGGGTCATTTCATGTATAACCCTGTGTTGTGACTGCATGGGAAGTCTCATCTCTTTGTATACCTACAGGTGGAGAACATCCTCCTGCATGACAAGGGTCATTATGTGCTGTGTGACTTTGGCAGCGCCACTAACAAATTCCAGAGTCCACAGACGGAAGGAGTGGCCACCGTGGAGGAAGAGATCAAAAAGTTTGTGCCTCTTTTTATCTGCTTTGGCGATATTTGCTGCTTTCGTTCATTAGCACTCCTTTTAGGTAACACAGCAGTTTTTCATTCATGAGCAGCTTTGTTGTTCTTTTACAGACTAATTGAATTCTTCACCTCATCCACCTATGGACTTTAGGGTTCTGCACAACACTAAATATTTTGATGTGACTGCAAAGCAGGTTTTGCTTGATCCAAGATTGAATTTGTAATGGATTAAATTTCATTCACATTTCTGAGCACATTATTGCACTGCCGCAGTACAGTAGTTTTTCTACAAATTCTGTCCTGTTTTATTCTTACCAATGTATTCCTGTGTTCTTTCAGATACACCACCTTATCATATCGAGCCCCTGAGATGGTGAACCTCTACAATAACAAGATTATAACCACAAAAGCAGATATCTGGGTGAGTGAAGAGGAGAGACTGCTGTTTTACTCATGACAGGGGCTTCTGCAATGTGACTGAATACATAGCTTTTATCCTTACACCAGCTGGTGTTTAGAGGGGAAAAGGTATTTGTGGTGTGATTTGCTGTGTACTGTTGGTATTCTTGATTAATCTCTTATCTTATCTCGTCTCATCTTCTCTTCTCTTCTTGTGTTTGGTGCGACGGGGCATGTGATTGTCTTCTCCAGGCGTTGGGCTGTTTGCTGTACAAGTTGTGCTTCTTCACTCTGCCCTTTGGTGAAAGCCAGGTGGCCATCTGTGATGGCAGTTTCACCATTCCAGATAACTCCCGCTACTCTTATGATCTTCACTGCGTCATTCGTTAGTCCCTAATAAACGTTTCTTATTTTTCAACAACATCAAATTCAGTGTGCACTTCTGGTTGTGAATATATCTACTTCCTGGCTTTCATAACTCTCCACTTCTCACGTCTCACTCTTGATTCTTCATGGGGTTTTTTCAGGGTACATGCTGGAGCCGGACCCAGACAAAAGACCAGATATCTACCAGGTGTCCTACTTTGCTTTTAAACTGGCTCAGCGGACCTGCCCTGTTCAGAATGTGAAGGTCAGTCTCTCTCAGCACTAACGTCAGCTGAAATAGTTTGATTTGCTCGGCTTTCTCTCATCAGGAATTGATTTTCATGTCGTATTCAGTGGGATCTGCTGTAGGATCTCTACCGGAACCAATAGTCAGGCAGTGGGAGGATAATTTACAGTAAATCATCAGTTGCATACTGTAGAAAATGCTTGTTAGCGCTAATGATATTCTTCATTGTTACTGCCAACTGCAAAAATCACACAGTGGTGCCTGAGTGCCACTGTCACTCATACTGCTCTTGTGGAAAATTCAAGATTTCTTTAACAATTTTGCATTTTTTCCCATAATCCAGAATTCTCCAATTCCATCTAAACTTCCTGAGCCAATCAAAGCGAGTGAGGCTGCTGCAGCAAAGAAGAGCCAAACTAAGTCCAGGCAAGCATAACCTGCCTACATTTTATTATCATTAAAGCTGTATCAACACTACATTTTGTGGAAGTAATTGGGTACAGTCAGTATTCTGATACTCATTAAATAACTATATTATCTTAATTAACAAATGCCAACATGCTTCTTTTGTTACCAGACTGACAGATCCAATTCCCACCACTGAAACCTCCATCACCCCTCGCCAGAGGCCCAAAGCAGCACATACCCAGCCTGCGGCTGGCATCTTACCAATCCAGCCTGCTGCTCTCACCCCTCGCAAGCGGGCTAATCTCCCTGGTGGTGTAGCTCAGCCTGTGGGTACGTACAGCACTCCGTCCTTATCCATCACAAGAAAAGAAACTGAGCTTTTGAATAAAGATGTGCATAAAGACAGGAATCCCTCTAATCCATTGTGCACACATTTAATGCTACAAATCTCAACAGAATCAGATCAGGTATGCAGGTTAAGACTTGTGCAAATTAAAGCAATCTAACCACAGGCCCAAAGTGATTATGTAATGATTTTCTCCACACTAGTAGCAGATTGCAACTCCCTTGTTTCACCCTCCCCTTCCAAGCGCGAAGGAGAAAATACAGTGGCCACGAAATGTGTGAAAAATGCAAATGGAAAACCAGAGCCAGTGTTTGGTTTGTCCCTTCTGGGCTACTGTAGAAACATGGCAGTTTTAACATAGGGCACAAAAACGTCTCATTCTAAGGTAACAAAAACACAACAATTCCTATATGGTGATTACACCTACATGACTATTATACTTAATTTCTGCTAATAGATCCTCCTAAATGTTGCACATAGGACCATTTAAGATGAACATTTTTCCATGCTGTTGAGTAATGTGTAGTCTGTGCTCTTTTTTACATCCCACAGGAGTCAGCTTAGACCTCTCTCAGCCAGCTGCAGCTCTGCAGTCACAGAAGGCACAGACTGCAGTTCTGCCACACATCCAGTCACAAAACAATTCAAGTCAGGCTATGGCTCCACAGAAGCAGGTACACGCCAACAAATTACATCGAAACCATTTGTATCAGCCATACACAAATTACAAAGTAAAAGTTGCTTTTGATACCTGTAGGATCAAGTTATTTAAGGTGGCTTGCAAACGTAGCCTTTTGAATGACAACAGATTCTGTGTCTGTATGTGATAGCCGGCGCAGCCAGCAGCAGCTACAGGGGCAGAGACTACCACAGCAGCAGCAGCAGTCGTGTCACCAGTGACCAAGACTGACATTCAACCGCAAGCACAGCCAATAGTTCAGCAACAGACCACACCTCCCTCCATGGTCGGCGCCAACTCCCAGCAGGCGCAGGCGCCATCGAGCCCGGCCCCACCTCAACGTCCAGCTCGACGCAAGCAGGCCGCCCAGGCTCAGCAGCCAGCGGCTCAGCCTTCACCCAACAAACCGGCCCCTGGTCAGCCGCCTGCATCTCTTCAGCAGCAGATAACTCAGCCAGCAGCTGCCCAGGCTCAGCCCGCCTCCACCGAGATCAGCCAAAGAGCAGCTGAAACGGTAAGCTGTTACCATCCAGCTTCAAATTGTCTGAACATCATCTGTCAGAATAATTTACTTTTCTTTCCTTTTTATTTGGCCATAATCTTGTAAGTGACATGGTCTGGTGTTCTCTTCATCCATATATATGTATGTATAATTTTCATCTCATGCCTCTTTTGATTAGACTCCACCTGCTTCTCCAAAGACAACTGAAGAACGGGGCCACCAGCGCATACCAAGTGATGCCACAGCTAGCACCATTTCTAGCGTCCCAGTGAGTGACTCCTCACAGCAGCCACAAGGAGCTAATGGAGGCACTGCCTTCAACCAGTAAGTGGCACTTGTACTTTAATAAACCTGAAGAATAGTTCAAATTCAAGTCTTCTCCTGTTTGTTTTATTTATATTTTGGGTGTTTTTTTTACCTGTAGATCACTTACATCTCAACCAAGCTCCACCCAACCTGTTCAGCTCGGTGTTGGTGATGCAGGACAGGACCAAAGCAAAGCTGGAAGCACTGCTCCTGCCACTGGCGGTGACACCAGCACCCCCACACAGTCTATGTGGAACCCATTTGAAGATGACAACTTCTCCAACCTCACTGCAGATGAATTCAAAACTGAGGACAAAAAGCCTGCTGGTAAAGTTTGTGTGTACATGTATGTTTGTAGTATCTTTAATGTGTGATAAACTGTTAATAACTGCAAATGTCTTCCTTACAGACCTACCTATAGAAATTGAGTCAACATCTGACTCGGGAGTTGAGGAGTTGATACCAGGCCTGCAGGCCTCAACTGTGGATAATACACCCCAAGAAACTGGTATGTGTCACTTGTTTCTTCTGGACCCACAGACCCTGTAGGGACATCATCACAAACTCACACTGTACAACAAACACAGTTCAGACTGAAGACACATTTTAAATTCTAGCCATTTAGGATAAAAAGCAGATAGTGTATGTCAGTCGTAGAGGATAATACACAGACACTTCCCATCTGTGTGTCTTTGGATTTAATTATTTAAATCATTATACAATAATATTTGTCATAAAGCTTAAAAGACCAACAAACAACTGGAACAAACAACTGTGCAATAGGAATTTAATCTTGTCAAACTGTGGAAAGATATTTAATTTAATTTTAAACCCATTACAAGGAAAATTAGACGGCAGTATTAGTTGGGTTCAAGTCCGGGGTGAAATATGTTGTGCCTGTACGAGCTTCTGTACAGAAACAGTCCCATGTTTCAGATTTAATAAACAACTTAATAGCAATAGGTTAATAGCAACACAGTTCAGTGACACACAACTACCCAATTTTCAGAAAGCAAACTTCCCTCATCCTGTTAAAAACACCAGACCTAATGTGTTCATTAACAGCAGCAGGAACACACTGGTTTATGTTTAACATCTGCAATCACGGATGCTGCTATTTAAACAGACTGTGTTTACCTGCCCTTACCTCCCCCACAGCGATTATGTGCTTAATTCAAGTGGTCATTCCTGTCAATTGTCAGACATTAGCATGAGTTAGCATGCTAGTTTGTGGACATAAAAGATGACTTGACCTGAGATTTAAAAAAATGAGTGAAAAATATCTCTTTGTAAGTTGTTCCCCACTTTAATATCTCACTGTTGCACTAATGTCACATAACGCATTGTACTGATTCTGAAGGAATATAATGTAACGTCATACCAAGAGGTAAAGCTCTTAATGCACCTGATCCATTAATCTGATAGCTTTTAAGATGCTTTCAGAAGCAACGGCAGCCTATGTGCATCACATAAATAAAATAAAGGGTTTGGTCAGAATGAAAGAACGATGTTAATGCTGTATCCAGCAAATGTAACCACTGGTTTTTATGTGTTTCCTTTTAACAAGAAAGAATAGTTTGTTTAAAAATTGATTTGCGTATATACTGCATTAGGTAAAACTGTTGCTTTAGAGTCTCACTGCTTATAAAGTTTCGTTATTTGGTCTGTTTGGTTGATAAAAATACACTTTATGAATTACTGCCTGTATTTGGAGATATGAATACATTTTATGCTGTTTGAAAAAGTGGATGTAAAGCACCCAAGGTCAGTTTTCAATACCAACTGCGGATAACGAATACACACTTGTCTTGATATTAATCATTGTAATTGGTCTAAACAACTATTTGTATTCAGACACACCAACTGAAAAAAATCTGATTTCTCCCATAATTCATTTTTAGACTTGAGGATGGATTATAAATCAATGATTAAACTTCTGTCTCCTAGTTGAACAACCATCAGCCAGTCTTGATTCAGGAGCTTCGCTGTTGATCGTCCCAGATCCTTTTCATACCCTCGAACTCTCAGACACACCAGGTAAATATCTCTCTCTGTGGATCCACACTGTACACACAAATGCACCTTTGTATGGTATTTTTCTCAGATGTGGTTGCTTTAGCTGATGTTGTCATTTCACTTTGTTCAAGTATGTCTCCTTTATTGTCTCTAAACCTCTATTGGCCTTTAGCGAAGCTGATTGAAGGACTCAAATCTCCAGACACGTCTTCACTCATGCTTCCCGACCTCTTGTCATTGTCTGATCCCTTCGGTGGCTCTGTGGAAGAGTCTGCAAAAGGTGTGTTTATGTGTGTGTATGTGCATTGTTGAATTCGATTTATTTCGTTTTTCTGTCCTTTTTGGGGTTAAGACCAAAAACAAAAGCAAATCCCTGCTTAAAGGGATGTTTTTGTTTTTTCAAGTAGGGCTGTATGAGGTACTTATCCATAGTCAATAGTGTATTACTTACAAAAAATGTCAGCACGCCCCCAGTTTGGAGAAGCAAAAAGACAAACATATTTTATATTTCAAAAAAAGACTCACCAAAACAGTCACTTTTAGTTTTAAGTGTACACTATATTTAGAACATCAAATATTTACCTTGCTGTCAGACAGCCCTTTCTGATGGAAAACTGAAGCAGTCATTTTCACTTTCAGTCATTCAAAAACAGTAATTTTACCTTGCAGCATATGGGAATTGCTGGTCTACCACTCCCTCAATCCACAGCAACTAACATTAGTTTGGATCCAAACTGCTGCCTCTTCCATCAGTGTATGAATGATGTGTTAATGGGAGGGTCTCATGAGTGTGTAAAGCATTTTGAGTGGTTGGTAGACCAGAGTCCAAGTGCAAGTCAAACTAACATGTTAAAACACCAAAGTCACACAGTAACAATAACACAAACTAACCGATCAAGGCAGCGGTGGACAAGCAACTCCTGGGTTCTGCCAGGTAAAATTACTGTTTTTTGTCAAAGGACTCTGGGGGCTTTGAATAGAGTATAAATCTGTATAACACCTCAGTTTATATATATATAAACCTATAACACCATAGAAAGGTGTCTGTCAGCAAGCTAAAGCAGTGAAAATACTCTAAATATAGCGTACACTTCAACTGATATTGAGTCTTTAGGTGGCTGAAATATGTTTGTCTGTCTGCTTCTCCAAGGATGTGCTGACTGCCATCTACTGTACATACACAAACCCCCACTTTAAAAAAACCCACAATCATTGCCAGACTATTGTGAATAAATAACATGTTATACATTTCTTGAATTACAAGAGTTTGTTGGCAAATAACTATAAAAATCCTCTGCTGTTGTAATAACCTGAGAGAAAGTTATGTATCTGCAATTACCCACAAAGCCTTTAGCATTAAGATAACATTATTGAGACCATGGGTATTTGGTTTCTAAGAGCTAAATGATGTTCAAATATTACAGCTTTAAGTCAGAAAGTGAATGCATGTATCACTGTAGATCTTAGAATCATGTGTTCTGGTCCTCTTTGTATTTGAACCACAGCTAAACTTGACCCTCTTTTCTCCTAACCTGTCCAGACCCTCTCACTGCAGACGACTCTCTCCTGGGCTGCTCTCTGATCTCTGGTCCGTCCGCCCCGCCGGCAGCAAGCAGCGCCACCTCCTCTGTCTCTTCTGCTCCCACATCCGCTGCCTCTGCTTTGGATGATTTCAGCCTGTTGTCTGGAGAATCTGCACAGCCTAAAGCAGGTAAGCTGGGT